CCAGTAACACACCAGTATGGACCAGTAACACACCAGTATGGCCCAGTAACACACCAGTATGGACCAGTAACACACCAGTATGGCCCAGTAACACACCAGTATGGACCAGTAACACACCAGTATGGACCAGTAACACCAGTAACCTCTCCCTGGGATCTGAGGGGGCCCCCAAGTCTGGAGGAACCCCCAAACCCTGGGAGTCCTGAGGGACTTGGGGGTGTCCGGCTGGATCTTGGGGTGATTTGGGTGTTTTGGGATGATTTGGGATGATTTTGGGGTGATTTGGGTGATTTGGGTGATTTTGGGGTGTTTCAGGGCGATTTTGGGGTGATTTGGGTGATTTTGGGTGATTTGGGTGATTTTGGAGTGATTTTGGGTGATTTGGGGGATTTTGGGGTGATTTGGGGGATTTTGGGGAGATTTTGGGCTGATCTTGGGGTGATTTGGGGGATTTGGGGGTGATGTGGGTGTTTTGGGATGATTTGGGATGATTTTGGGGTGATTTGGGTGATTTGGGGGATTTTGGGGAGATTTTGGGCTGATCTTGGGGTGATTTGGGGGATTTGGGGGTGATGTGGGTGTTTTGGGATGATTTGGGATGATTTTGGGGTGATTTGGGTGATTTGGGGGATTTTGGGGAGATTTTGGGCTGATCTTGGGGTGATTTGGGGGATTTGGGGGTGATGTGGGTGTTTTGGGATGATTTGGGATGATTTTGGGGTGATTTGGGTGATTTGGGGGATTTTGGGGTGATTTGGGTGTTTTGGGATGATTTGGGATTATTTTGGGGTGTTTGGGGGTGATTTGGGGTGATTTGGGTGATTTTGGGGTGTTTCAGGGCGATTTTGGGGTGATTTGGGTGTTTTGGGATGATTTGGGATTATTTTTGGGTAATTTTGGGCTGATTTTGGGGTGATTTGGGGGATTTTGGGGTGATTTGGGGGATTTTGGGGTGATTTTTAGGTGTTTTGGGGTGATTTTGGGGTGTTTTGGGGTGATTTGAGGTGTTTTGGGGTGATTTGAGATGTTTTGGGGTGTTTTGGGCTGATTTTGGGGCGGTTTTGGGATGATTTTGGGGTGTTTCAGGGTGATTTTGGGGCGGTTTTGGGATGATTTTGGGGTGTTTCAGGGTGATTTTGGGGTGATTTTGGGGTGGTTTGGGGTGATTTTGGGGTGTTTCAGGGTGATTTTGGGGTGGTTTGGGGTGATTTTAGGGTGATTTTGGGGTGTTTTGGGGCGTTCCGGGCTCTGACCCCCCCTCTCTCCCCAGAACGGCTCAGCGCGCCGGGCGGTGGCGGCTCAGCCGGGCCGGAAGAGGAAATCAGCGTGTCTGGGGACAGATGAGGTGGGGACACCCAGGGGACACCCAGGGGACACCCAGGGGACACCCAGAGGACACTGGGGACAGCCAGGGGACACCGGGGACACCCAGGGGACATCTGGGACACCCAGGGGACAGCCAGGGGACACTGGGGACAGCCAGGGGACACCCAGGGGACACCCAGGGGACACCCAGGGGACACTGGGGACAGCCAGGGGACACCCAGGGGACAGCCAGGGGACACCCAGGGGACACTGGGGACAGCCAGGGGACAGCCAGGGGACAGCCAGGGGACACTGGGGACAGCCAGGGGACAGCCAGGGGACAGCCAGGGGACACTGGGGACAGCCAGGGGACACCCAGGGGACACCCAGGGGACATCGGGGACACCCAGGGGACATCTGGGACACCCAGGGGACACCCAGGGGACACCGGGGACACCCAGGGGACATCGTGGGGGGAGGGGAGGAGGGAAATGAGCTCTGCGGGCGGGGAAACTGAGGCAGGAAAAGGAGGAAATGCGGGAATTGAGGCAGGAAAAATGAAAAGGAAGGGAATTAAAGGTTTTAATTGACATTTAATTGACATTTAATTGACATTTAATTGGGGGAAACTGAGGCAGGGACGTGGGAAAACTGAAATGGGGGAAATGGGAAAGGCAACGTGGAGAGAGAGAAACTGAGGCAGAGGAAGGGAAAAGTCACCTAAAAATGGGGGAACCAAAGCAGGAAGGGACAAAAATCACCTAAAAATGGGGAAATCAAATCAGGAATGGACAAAAATCACCTAAAAATGGGGAAATCAAATCAGGAATGGACAAAAATCACCTAAAAATGGGGAAATCAAATCAGGAATGGACAAAAATCACCTAAAAATGGGGACAAACAAAGCAAGAACAGACAAAAATCACCTAAAAATGGGACAAAGCAGATGGGGAAAGGCCAAACCCCCCTGGGAATGAGGCAAAGCAAAGCAGGAATGACCAAAAACCACCTAAAAATGGGGACAAACAAAGCAAGAACAGACAAAAATCACCTAAAAATGGGGACAAACAAAGCAAGAACAAACAAAAATCACCTAAAAATGGGACAAAGCAGATGGGGAAAGGCCAAACCCCCCTGGGAATGAGGCAAAGCAAAGCAGGAATGACCAAAAACCACCTAAAAATGGGGACAAACAAAGCAAAACCAGACAAAAATCACTTAAAAATGGTAAAAGTAAATGAAGAAGAGACAAAAACCACCTAAAAATGGGGCAAAGCAACGCAAGAAGGGATAAAAATCACCTGAAAATGGGGAACCCAAATCAGAAAGGGCCAAAAATCACCTAAAAATGGGGCAAAGCAAACCAAGAACGACCAAAAATCACCTAAAAATGGGGACAAAGCAGATGTGGAAGGGCCAAACCCCCATGGGAAGGAGGTGAAGCAAAGCAAGAAGGGACAAAAATCACCTGAAAATGGGGAAACCAAATCAGGAATGGACAAAAACCACCCAAAAATGGGGAAAACGAATCAGGAAGGGACAAAAACCACCTAAAAATGGAGCAAAACAAAGCAAAACCAGACAAAAATCACCTGAAAATGGGGAAACCAAATCAGGAATGGACAAAAATCACCTAAAAATGGGGAAAAACAAAGCAAGAACAGACAAAAATCACCTGGAATGGGGCAAAGTAAAGCAAGAAGGGCCAAAAACCACCTAAAAATGGGGAACCCAAATCAGGAATGGACAAAAATCACCTAAAAATGGGGAACCCAAATCAGGAATGGACAAAAACCACCTAAAAATGGGGAAAACCAGAGCAAAACCAGACAAAAACCACCTAAAAACGGGGGCAAAGCAGATGGGGAAGGGCCAGACCGGCACGGGAAGGAGGCGAAGCAAAGCAAGAAGGGCCAAAAACCACCCAAAAATGGGGGAAAACAGAGCAAAACCAGACAAAAATCACCGAAAAATGGGGAAAACAGAGCAAAACCAGACGAAAATCACCTAAAAATGGGGAACCCAAATCAGGAATGGACAAAAATCACCTAAAAATGGGGAACCCAAATCAGGAATGGACAAAAATCACCTAAAAATGGGGAACCCAAATCAGGAATGGACAAAAATCACCTAAAAATGGGGAACCCAAATCAGGAATGGACAAAAATCACCTAAAAATGGGGAACCCAAATCAGGAATGGACAAAAATCACCTAAAAATGGGGAACCCAAATCAGGAATGGACAAAAATCACCTAAAAATGGGGAACCCAAATCAGGAATGGACAAAAATCACCTAAAAATGGGGAACCCAAATCAGGAATGGACAAAAATCACCTAAAAATGGGGAACCCAAATCAGGAATGGACAAAAATCACCTAAAAATGGGGAACCCAAATCAGGAATGGACAAAAATCACCTAAAAATGGGGAACCCAAATCAGGAATGGACAAAAATCACCTAAAAATGGGGAACCCAAATCAGGAATGGACAAAAACCCCCTAAAAACGGGGGCAAAGCAGATGGGGAAGGGCCAGACCGGCGCGGGAAGGAGGCGAAGCCCGGCCGTGACCGCGCTGTCCCCGGCAGGACTCGCAGGACTCGTCGGACGGAGCCCCCTCGGCGCCCAGGATGACCGGGAGCCTGGTGTCGGACCGGAGCCACGACGACATCGTCACCAGGATGAAAAACATCGAGTGCATCGAGCTGGGCCGGCACCGCCTCAAGCCCTGGTACTTCTCCCCGTACCCGCAGGAGCTGACGGGGCTGCCCGTGCTGTACCTGTGCGAGTTCTGCCTCAAGTACGGGCACAGCCTGCGCTGCCTGCAGAGACACCTGGTACGGGGGTGGGGGGAGTGCGAGGGGGGGTTTGGGG